TTTTTTTTTTGGTCTTTTCTGAGACAGGGTCTCACTATGCAGTTCAGGCTGGCCTTGAACTCACTTATGTGGCCCAAGCTGGCCTCGAACTCACAATGATCCTCCTGCCTCAGTCTCCCAAGTGCTGGGATTACAGACATGCGCCACCACACCCGGCTACTTCCTTGTAATAGTAGAACTGATGTCCCCACTTTCTTGCTGGCTGTCAACTGGAAAGTACACTCTGTCATGCATTTTGGGTCTCCATTTTTCAGCTTGGCTGCTACTTCAACCCTCTAGCAGAGTCCTCACTGAAGGAGAGCCTTTGACCTTGAGGTGTCATGGATGGAAGAATAAGCTGGTTTACAATGTGGTTTTCTATCAAAATGGAAAGCCCATTAAGTTTTCTTATCGGGACTCTGAACTCACTCTTCTGAAAACCAACATGAATCACAGCAGTATCTATCACTGCTCAGGCAAAGGAAAACCACCTTACATCTTCACATCAACAGGAGTAGCTGTGACTGTGAAAGGTACAGTATCTAAATAGTTATAGAGCTACAGTTCTAAGGATCAAAAGGACCAGCATAAATTATCTAAGTCCTCATTTCAATTTGTAAGTGAAGAAACAGCTCTAGAGAGATAAATTGCTTTAGTAGTGGGTCCCTATCCATTGTTCTTTCCAGTATACCACCATGTTCTATCAATAACCACAGGAGCTAAACTCAAAGTCGGGACATAAAAAAGATCCATTTCATCAACGTGATTTTAGTTGCAAAGAACAGAGACTCCCTTAGGTAGCTAGAAGAGTTATTAGAAAACAATTCAGTAGAATTTCATGAATGTTCCATGGAAATGGAAACCAGAATGACATTAGGAGCTGGTTAGGTTTTCATCTGTCTCTCAAGAGCAGTGTAGCCTCTATGGTCCTGCTTCTCTCTAAACATCTGCTAACTAAGCAGCTTCTCCTATCTGAGTTTGCATATGGCTCTTGCTCTGACCATTTCAAGATCTTTCCTCTTAGCACTCACAGTCACAAGTAATGTCTTTCTGTCCAGAAAAAAAGAGTTCATTCCTGTGAGAAAGAAATAACTGTCTCAAATTATCTTTTGAGTGAGGAACACAAGGAATCGCTGAACTGACAAGGATGTGAGTTAGTGCCTACTCTGGGTAGATCGTTACCAAGAGGCTGTGGTTATATAATAACATGACTATTCAGGGAAGCTTGGGCCATATAAAGGAATTCGCTACAGATGCAAGCAAGTTGGTAGCCCTGATTCTGTCCATCAGGAAACACCAACAGTGACTCTCTTGTAAATGGGAAAAATTATGCCAATGGATGGAATTGCTTGGGGACAGGTGTCCAGGGTGGGAGAGGGTACATCTCATGAAAAGAACCTTGACACTGCAGCAGGCAACCCTGTCCCCAATCAACTTTCTCTTTAGAGCTATTTCCAGCTCCAGTGCTGAGCTCATCCTTGTCATCCCCTCTCTGGGAGGAAAAGCTGGTCACACTGAGCTGTAAAACAAAGTTGCTCCTACAGAGGCCTGGCGTGCAACTTTACTTCTCCTTCTACATGGGCAACATGATGCTGAGGGGCAGAAACACATCCTCTGAATATCAGATTCTAACTGCCAGAAAGGAAGATTCTGGGTCATACTGGTGTGAGGCGGCCACAGAAGATGGAAATGTCCTTAAGCGCAGCCGCGTGTTGGAGCTTCAAGTGTATGGTGAGTGAGAAGGACTGGAAGTGACTGGCAAAGGAGAAGGGGTCATTTTCTGCCATGAAGCTGAGGCTTGTTCAGGGGTTTGATGGCCCAGCCAGGAGGAGGAAGTCTCTTTAGGAAAAGCCCAGAGTCGGGCCTTTCCACCATTGGTTCAGAACTTTTTTTTTTTTTTTTTTGTCTTTTTTGAGTCAGGGTCTCACTCTGCAGTTCAGGCTGGCCTTGAGCTTACTTTGTAGCCCAGGCTGGCCTCGAACTCTCAAGGATCCTCCTGCCTCAGCCTCCCAAGTGCTGGGATTACAGGCATGCGCCACCACGCCCCGCATGGTCCCTTTTGAACTGCCCGGCTTGGTTCAGAATTTTAATACACTCCCCACACACTTCATTAAGTTTGCTTTCCTCCCTTTTCTTTTCCTTCCCTTCATCTCATTCTTCCTTCTTCCTTTTCTTCTCCTTTATTTTCTGTTCTCACTTCCTATCACTCTTTTACCACCTGTTGCCCACTTCTCCATCCCCATACCCCCCTGTCCTTCACCAGCCATCTCACTAGAATATATTGAGCTTCTCCTGTCTGCTGCTCGTGCGTCTGGGGATACAGACACTGGGGTGCAGTTTTTGATTCGCATAGTAGATTTTTAAGAGAGTGATTTTGTAAATAGCACATAAGTACCTACCCAAGTGTCTGTTTAACTGAGGTAGAGAGATTGTGAGCTCAGAAAGAAAGACTCTTTGGGAAAAACCAAGTTAATCTTCAAGCCAACCATTAAATAGCATAGAAAGAGCAGTGGTCTCTGAAACTAAAGAGCAAGTCCACTGACAGTCTCCAGTAGTTAAATTTTTCCAAGGAGTTTGTCCCTCTGTGGACACCATACAACCCAGATGGAGCTCCCTCCAGTTTCCTCAGCCCCAAAACTTGCCAGTGCCCCATGGAGACAAGCACACTAGGCCTCAGTCAATCTCATTCCAAACAGAACTCGGCCACATCCTTCCAGTGTCTAAACAGTATCTCTTCTCTTTGTCTTTTTCTGTTTCAGGCCCTCAGTCACCAATTTCTGTCGGGTTTCACATCCTTTTCTATCTGCCAATGGGCCTAATATTTTTGGTAGATACTGTTCTCTGTGTGAGAATATATAAAGAACTGCCAAGAAAGACAAAGTGGAATTTAGAAATGTCTTTGGCTTCTGATCATGGAGAGGAAGAAACTTCAGACAATCTAAAAGGTATTTAGAAGAAGAGGTGAAGTATCAGAAACAGGAACCACAGCAAGAAAGGACACACCAAAGTCCCAGCAGGGAGAGAAGCATCGGCTCAGAGGGTGACCACAGATCTAGGGACAGCCTCTGCCTCTTCTTCTCTGTGATACTGCTGGAACATAAACATCTGAAAGTTGAATGTCAAGAAAACTGTGGGTTCCATAGCTTATAACTCTTAAATAAAGCTGACTTCAATTGAGACAAATGTAGACATTTGGCAATCAGAGATAATTTAAAATGAGATCTACTCTAAAGAAATCTTCAAAACTTTGGAAGTCAGAAAAAATTTAGAAGTCAAGTCTGATTATTCTACTAATTTGAAAACAAGTATATTTCTAAGAACAGGGTAAAAATTTGAGTATATACATATGTACAAAAGATTAAGACAAAAAATGAGAGAAAGAAGGCAGCAGAAGGTGTTCTCACATGCGTGCGTGCACACACACACACACACACACACACACACACACACACACACCTCATGGGGGTGGATTTCACGGAGACCAGAAGGATATGGGGAAGGGGGAAAAGAAGGGAAAGAAGAAAATAGAACTTACACATCTGTGACTTCTCAGAGACTGTGAGAAAGAGAGTGCACATCTGTGTGTTTAAGACAGTTATTTTCATGGCTTGTCTAGTTCCAGAGATTTACTCTGTTCTTCTGATTTTCTGGATGATTACTAATGAGTTCAAGATATGCTGCTGCCCCACTTGGGTTGTAATTTGGGAACAAAACTGTTTCCTACTACTCTATAACATAGCTGACATTGAATACTGAAATATGTGAATAAGATTTTACTAGAAACTTAGGAGTTTTTTTAAGGATAACAAACATAGCAACAAAATGTAGCTTATTTGCCAGACAAGGATCATCCCCACCAAGCCTCTACCCTGCCTCCATATAGCAGAGCTCACCTCTCTAACACCAACCTCCTGGGAGCTTCCCAGGGCAACAGGGAACCTGAGCCCACTGCTTTGCTCATGAGTACATAAACAAAATAATCTTTCCTCCTTCACCTTTAGAAAAAAGGCAGCCCTCAGTCCAGAGGGCCCCAGCAAGTTGGGTAAGGCTTCATCCAGCCTACACCACTCCAAAGCTGGAGCCCGGTAGGCAGGTGAGACAACTGCTGAAGGCACAACTGGAAGGTACAGCTGCAGCACTGTCTCCAGGATACCATCTGTGCACTGTGTCCACAGTAGGAAGACCATTACGAGTCCAAGAACCAGGGAGGGGATCATATTCCCACTTCCTTTCACTCCCAATGACCCAGCAGGGCCTTGGTGCTTCCCATCCCGGCAACCTTGGGCTATGCAGGGTTAGAGATCTGAGTCTCCAAAGGCGGCATGACACACCATGAGTCTCACTGAATTACAACCCTTAGCTGATACACAACTGCCCTGGGCTGGTGGCATCCAGGGACAGTAGCAAGAGGAGGAGTCCTATGTCAGCAAGGATGATAGATCCAGAGCAGCAGGAGAGACCCGCTGCTGTCACACAACAGTTGTGGAGAGGAATAGGTCTTGTAGGGAACAGTGACTCTTAGCATATCATTTTAAGATAGAATAATTCTAGTCTTAATGCAAGCCTCAAAATGTGTCTTGAGAAACATTCTGGAGGGTTGTAAAGAGTTAACTTTGCAGTCCTGACTTAGCCCTGGAATGCTTCTCCAAAGACAAAGAACACCAGGGCCTAGATAACTACCTAGGACCTTGCCTGGGTTGTTTCATCCTTTCCCTGGCCCTGATAAACACTGTAACCATAAAGGAAATGTATGGTTATCTAAACAGGGACATATAGAACAGAGTACAGAAAGTATATATCATTGTGGTTGGGCACATGACCAGAGCCTGATCCGGTTATGTGGCACAAAGGAAACAACATGTGGCCAGGGCCAAAACATTCCAATCTGTTACCATGGAAACCAAAAATGTATATAAGCTGGGAACAAAGGCAGCTTTGTTCCACTTCCCTGACTTGCAAGTCGGGATGAGAGGTGACCAGTCTAAATTAAAACTTTGTCTGCTCTCTTTGGTCTCTTGCGGAATACAGACCTAATTTTTGCCATAACAGTCTGGAACAATATAACCCACCCAGATGTTCATGTTACTCTCTTGCCCACTGGTACCTTCAGACAGAACAGCAAATGCACCCTTAGAATGGCTTAGTAATGGGCACTGGTACCCTCAGGGTCTGGGCTGTGCCAGCAGCTCACTCTCTGAGAAGTAGTCAGTAGTAATTATGACCTTGAGTCCAGGCCCAGCAACAGGAGTTGCAGTTTATCCCACTGATCTCTTTTATTTTTTGTACCAAAAGTTAAATCTAGAGGCTTTTTGCACCAGTCGACAGCCCCAGTGCTTTAAATATTTTTATTTATCTGCAGTACTAGGAATTGAATCTAAGGCCTTCACACTGAGCTATATCCTTAGCCCTTTTTTATTTTTTTATTTTCAGACAGGGTCTCACTAAACCACTAAATTGCCCTGCCCTTACAAGCCTCCTGCCTCAGCCTCCCAGAGTGCTGGGATTACAGGTATGTGCCACCATGCCCAGCTTAACCTCATTCTTTATTTCCCATCCAGAAGAATAAACCCAGTGGAACTCTGGAAGAAGAGCTTCCCAAACATCTACTTGAAAGTGGATACAGACGGCAGGGGAGGGCACAGTGGTAGACAGAGAGGTCCATGGCCCAAACCCTTTCCAAGAAGGGACCTGGGACTGCTGCCCTGAGTGCACTCAGCAGACAGCCTGCAGCTGTTAGCACCTTCAGAGTAGCCTCAGCTACTTCTCTCCAAGACCCACCGACCTGGGGCCTCTCCCAGTGCCTGAGCAGAGGGCCTCTCAGCCCCTGCAGGCCATTCCGGTTCCCCAGAGCTCTGCAGTTTACTGGAAGTTTCAGGGGTCTGACCTGCCTCTGCCTGGGCCTACCTTACCCTTCCTTTCACAGGTGTCTGCCCCTCCGAAACGTCTTCCACCCCAAAGTCTGTGTCAGCATCTGCTTTCAGAGAACCCAGCAACAATTTATAAAGTCTTTAGAGACTTACAAGACCGCTTTGTCCAAACACTTTTAGAGATACATTTAATCTGATAGAGAAGAGAGCAAGTTTATAATGGTAAAGAAGTATGCACATAGGCCCTGCTGGTACAGGAGAGCACGTGCAGGACCTTAGTTTAATTCCTTATCCAATTACATTTTCCTGAGCTGGTATGTGATGCAAAAATGCCCTCTCCTCCTCTAGCCAGAAAGGAGAGGAAGCATCATCATTTGTTTCGTACTGTATTTCTGTGAATTACAGTCTTGCACTTTTAAGGCCAGGATTTGGAATTTCACTAGTTACCATTAGAAGCAAAATGCAAGGCTGGTAGTCTTACTGGCAGACACCAGAAAATGAATCAGCTGGAGCTGACTTGATGAAATAAAGACTACAAACTATGTTACTCTGCAGTCATCACCACTCCCTGCGGACCTGGGCACACTGCTGCGCTGACCAACCTACCAATCCGCCTGTGGTATTTGAACCCATAGAGATGAAACATCACGACGCTTAGTGGGTATGTAGGGGGCAATGAATCTTAGCATACTATTTTAGATAAAATAGTTTGG